TAGATAGATAGATAGATAGATAGATAGAGAGATAGATAGATAGATAGATAGATAGATAGATAGATAGATAGATAGATAGATAGAGAGATAGATAGAGAGATAGATAGATAGATAGATATGCGGACTAAAATCTATAAGAAAAATTTGATTGGTTAATTCTCATTAGTGGGCGTATCCATATGCTTTCAACAAATCATTGCCGATGTGGGCGGTAATGGGTGGATCCCCTACTTCTGATGACGTCAGTATCAATCAGCGGTCGCTGGGTTGTACCAGCAGTACAGAAAAGAACAAGTAACGATGGTTCTCATCAAAGAATAGTAAGTCCATTCTTTCTGTTTAGAAGCTTTCCATCTGCTCATTTCTAAACCTTTTTTTCGTTATACTATAACGTCAGGTCGTTCAGGGTGCTTTTTAGTACCTGAACAGAAGTGAAACTTTTACTAGGCGTTTGTTCAGACACGAGGGTCGGGAGGAGGAAGACGATTGGGATTGCTTAAGAGCTGTTCTGGCCCACCGGCTTTGACAGGGGCATGGCATTGTTTGACAGCTGTTGTTTTCTTCATGTACTTTCATTTGTGTTCATATTAAAATGCTAGCTATTTTAGACTCGGATTGGGCTGTTTATTTGCGCTGTGAGCACTAACTTTTGTGTTCTCCGGCTTCGAGGCGGTGAACTTCGTGATATGCTAACGCTAAGTTAGCTAACTGAAAACGTTACCTGGATGGGGAAGTCACACTTTTTTAGCTCTATTAGCTGTCGGATATTATCGATTTGTCTGGCCCAGTCTTCCTGGCCACAACCAGTATAACTCAAGACGAGACAAATTATGCTAAACAAGTTTTTCCAAGTCAAATTTAATGGTTTACGTCAACTAGCTTGGTGCTAGTAGGGGGGTTTTATTAGTCTGTCCCAATCGGTTTAGCTATTTTTAGCTTTTGAAAGCATTTGCTACATTTTGCTCCGTTAGTCAAGTGCTGCAATCTAGGTTTCAGAAACAAGCAGTTCTTTGTAAAAGAAAACCAAAAAAAAGCGACTTCATTTCATAAGCAGGCACCATTGTTGCTGAGCCATTCAAAATCTTGTACACGTTTGAAGGCAGCAGTGTTATGGGTGTCATTTTGACATTTGGATTTCAATCAATGAGATAAGGCCTTCTCTGTGTTTTCAGTGACAGATTTCTTTTTCTGTCAGACCTCACCCCAAACCTCTTGTACTTCATTGTCCACATAGTATTTGGCAAACTCAGTCGATATATATGGGTTTTTATCAACAGTTTCTATCTCACCAACTTCATGGTGTATCAGCCGGAAACACTGATTAACCAGTGAATAGCTCTTCAGGTGTTCAAGTATCATCTGAGACACATCCACTGCTCCCAGGTGATTCCCATTACACTAATTGTGAGATGAGGAGCATCAAGTGGCAGGAGTCAGGACCTCTGAATTTGGATAGTCACTTTAAAGGAGTGAATATACATATATATTTTTAAACTGACAGTACTTGGTAGAAATTAGATTTCACTTTATAATTAAATTATTTTATTTGTCAAAAAATCTAATTTATATTGCACATGACTAGGGCTGCCACAAACGATTATTTTTATAATCGATTAATCACCGATTATTTTTACGATTAGTCGACTAATCGGATCATATGTTAGATTATAAAACATACAGCTTATCACGCCAGAATGCAGCTGCTATTATGTGTTAGATTTTAGCTAAATGCTAACTAAAAATAATTGCTGTGGAAGGCAAGTTCTGCTCTGCAGATATTGTACAGGTTTCTCTTTCATTTTCTTAAAATGATCCCACACTTTTGAGCTCCGTTGTCAGGTAGCCATGATACCAGAGCCTGTCTGTATAATGTCTTGTGACGTCCACAGCCTACCCCAGTTACCACTACTGTGCATGTGTGTCAAGGACAGAAAGGCAGATGTGGCCGTGGAAGGTGTCAAAGTAGTTTGGAGAGAAAAACAGAGTAAAAAACAACAACAAAAAAAAAAGAAAACGATTAATCGATTATTAAATTAGTCATCGATTTTTTTAATAATCGATTAGTCGTCGATTAATCATGGCAGCCCTACACATGACTTAAGAGCAATAATAGGAAAACATCCAAGGGAGTAAATTTTTATTTTATTGTCAGATGAGGAGAAAGAATGTAATCATTTACCCATATAACATAAGGGTATGAGATGGTTTGTTTTAAAGCTGATAAATGAACAAATACATGTCTACAGTGTAAATGAATTGGGTTTATTTCAGGCTAATAACATTATTTAAGGGATTCAACTTAGTATTTAACATTATTTAGAATTTTGAAAATGAAGGGGTTGATATAAGACATAAGTTATGTAAAATTATGTTACCACCATTTTTCGTCAGTATTATATATAACTGCTTTTAACACGCATCTCTGGAGCCTTATTTTCATTACCAGATCTGGATGGTAAACTGAAAATAAGTCAAATTGTAGTAACTGCATATTAAACATGTCAGATGCCATTTTGTTTTTCACATTTACACACAGTCAAGTTTAAGTTTCCCATGTGACAATCATTCTAATATTTCCTGAGACCTTGACTGTGTCAACCTCACACTCATCACAAGGACATGCTTTAGAGAAGAGATTAAATACTTTTCTGTGTATCATTTTTGTACAGCCTTAGTTAAAATTCAGAATAAAGTGGGTGTCACTTCTGGAGAAAACACAAATTAGTCAATGAGTAGGTTTAGGTAGGATCCAAACCTTGCTTTAAGTGTATGCACAGAGAGAACTTCCTCTCTTTTTTTTTTTTTTTTTTTTTGCATGGTGTGGTCAGTGGTTAGGGAGGGGAAACGTTTGACTCATCAGTTTAAATAAATGGTTGTAAGCACAGCTTATTACATCCTTAGAAGAATTTCAAAGAAGAAAAACTGAATGTGAATTTTAGTGCATGACTATTACTTATAGTTATTTTAATAATTCATGTAGGATTTCATTTTTAAATTTATTTTCAACAGGGCACATTCTGCTACTGATCTATTAAACACATTGCTCATTTTTCTCACCCCAAAATGCTCATTTACATCTTTTTTTTTTTTTTTTTTTTTGGCTCCTGTTTTATCCTACATCAAATGAAGCTTTCCTTTGACTCACTGCTACACCCAGTTTAGGATTTACTTGGCTCTGACTTTTCTGTTTAGTTTTAGTGATGAGTGTGTCATCTTGCTGAGTCATCAGTATGTCAAAAAGCCAGTAATAGTTTATTTTTTTCCCTCCTGCGTTTGAAAAGTGACCTTGAAAGTTTCCGTCTTGCAGCACTAGAGTGTTTGTTTGTTTTATTTACAAGTATGTGTCAAGATTGAGACAAAAAGGTGTCTTGTCACAATCGTTCTGAAATTTAAAAATTTCGCTATTATTAATAATCTTGTGCTGATTTGTAAAGCACACACATTAGCTATAACATACTGTATCTATATTCGATGCTATCACCTAGAAATCATAGTGGCCTTTGGCTGATGTACAATGGGTTTTTTTTTTGTCACATGTATTTTTAATTTAAGAAAATCTAACAATCGTTTAAAAGAATATTTAGCAACCCTTTGAATTACCCATTCACATCTTCAGAAAAGTAGCAGCTACTGATGCATTCTACTTTTCTTTTCTTTCTTTTTTTTAGTGAAAACTCTGCCAATAGAGTTCAGGGATGCAACTATTGAACATTTTAATGATGAACTATTTAATAACCTATTCTATTGAATAATTAGATATATTGTATGCCAGTGGTGCCCAACCATTTTTGCTAGAAACCCCATTGAACTGTAGTACAAGTTGTGTCCTCCCTTTACACTATCAAAACCACTCAAGTGTGCGCATGTATGTCAACACATGATTGTGCATATTTTTATGAAATGTCAGGATGTTTTTAACAGTGTGTATAGTCCTTGTTTTTATTGTCATACAGTCATCAAGTGTCAGTCTTCAGCAGCAGAGCTGAGATGATGATTAAAGTAAAACCCAGTTTGGCCTGCCTGTTTTCAACAAGTTACTCTTTGACAATCCTGAACGTTTTGTTTGCGTTTCAATGAAAATGTGTCTGAATCAGTTTAAAAGCAAGTAAACCTCTTGTCATAATCAATTGAAAGTCTAGGATATCAATACAGACATTCACATTGGTGCTGGGCGGTATGACCAAAATTTTATATCACGGTATTTTCAACATTTATACCAGTTTCACAGTATATCACTGTATTTTTTTTTCTTCATCACAGGTCAGCTGATAATAAAATGTACAAACACTGCTTATTAACTTTTCTCTTTTACTGTACCTCTGTCTGTGTATTTGTTTCTCTCTGCTAAACGTCTTTTCTTCTCCTCCTGGTTGGAGACAGTCACGCATTTTGGTCCGGTCGTGAAGGAGGAGGGTTAAGAAAAGATTATTATCGGGTTTATTGTTTTATGTTATTTAATAAAGATTAATAGCACGACTCACCTTGCACACCAGTCAACTCAGTTCCACTACAAAACTTCTCCCCCGGCTTTTCACAATAGAAGCATGTTAAAGTCTCCATGCGTCTCCACGTCTCCATATTAAAGTTTCGTGTTATATCTTACTGTGCACGTCACTGAAGAGGTGTTTACTACATTCATCGATGGTGAAAATGGGATGTTTTTTAACGTCGGTCAATATAAGTAGCGGAATCGCCACCCGCCACTGCAACAAACTGCTCAACAATAACATTAGCATGCTAACGTACATAGCGGTCCAGCGAGGAAAAGTTTCTCCCAGGAAACAGTTCACTGGCGGCCGTGATGAAACGTTCCGTGCGTGTTTAGGCTATTAAAATCGGTATGTCGGTATTCAGAAAATTCATATCATAACAAAAATAAACTGTATTCGGTACGAACCGGTACACCGCCCAGCACTAGTTTACATGTTGTAAAACGGTGCACAAAGAACCACTGTTTTTTTCAGCAACACACATTGTTACAGCCAGTTTAGATTAGGGCTGCACATAATATATTGAAAATTTATCATCATCGCAATAATGGCCTGGGCAATAGGCATATCACACAAAAAAAGCATAAAGTGCAATAAATGGTTGACTCAGAAGTTTGCATTTGAGTTTTGTGAATCGGAAAGAAGATGGAAGCATTTCACCAATCAATCCGCCAAAAAAAAAAACATTTCACAGATTCAAAAATTGGTATTTAGGTGCTGTTTTTGGAACCTACAATGTATAAGTGTCCAATAACACGATTAATGGTAAAAGGAGAAAAGCTAATAAATAATACGATATAAATGTCTAATAGAAAAATGTCATGACAAACAAATTATCCCTGCTGTATTGTTGCATTTTATTTTACTTTGTCAGATAATTCAGCCTTGTTGTTTCATATATTATTATTGTTGTTGTACAATAAGTAAAATAAGTCTTTCATAATGTTTTTGTGCTTTGTCAAATTAGAGTTGGTGTCTTTTGAAATAAAATGTTTTAAGTGTTAACGCATGTTTTTTTTTCTTTGCAGCCGTGTAGTTTTACCCTGTAGTGTTGAGGAGGTAAGTAATTAGCTTTACATGTTTTACTTTTTACAGTAATTATACAATTGTATTTGTCTTTGTTTATTTTAATGTCTTTGTATTCAAAGATGCAATATAAAAGGGTTATTTAGTTGCCGAGGTAGTTTAAATAGGCAAAAGAAAATCTTAATGCAACTTGTTGCCCACTCTGCTTGTATTGAAGCAGCATGTCTTGAAATCCCAATGAGTGCAACAGTATATTTCAGTTTTCCCTCAATGCTGGGAAAACAAAAACATTTTTATAAAAGGTTGATCTATTCTTCCCATGCTATACATATAATTTAGGGTGACTGAATAACTTTTGTTTTTAGAAAACAGATGTTTTTTATAATAGGTGCCAAATACTGACCAATGAGACATTTACTGTGAAGATCGGCTTAGGCAAAGTAATATTCAAATTATTTGGCATTTTCTGCCCATTTCAAAGACTTGTGTTTGTTCATTGAATGTATTTACTGCAACAAGCAGAAAAGACAGTGAACAACCTCACCCAAAAGCAACCTCTGGGATTTATCTCCTAATTATGTTATGCCAACTATCTTACTTTATTGACTTCTGTTATAATCTTCAAGTACATTGTGGCTGTAATGTAGTTAAGCAAAACTACAGAAACAAAGTTTTAAACTTTTAATGTTTGTGTGATATGTAACTGTTTGTGTGATAAATTTTGTGTTGCAGTATCAAGTCGGTCAGCTCTTCTCTGTGGCTGAAGCCAGTAAAAATGAGACAGGTGGAGGTGAGGGCATTGAGGTCCTCAAGAATGAGCCTTATGAAAATAATGGAGAGAAAGGACAGTATACACACAAAATTTATCATCTAAATAGGTATGTATGTTTTCTGTTTTGATCTGATTTTAGGCCTTTGTGCTTTCTGTAGTGTAATGACCTAATTCTACCAGAAGGTGGCAGTGTTGTTCTATTTGTAAAGCATTATTTGTGATCTCGTTTCCTTTACCATTTGCTTTGAAATCAGTGAAAACTAACAAAGATATTTTTATTTATTTTCTTGTTTTACAGTAAAGTCCCAGGGTTTGTCAGGCTCCTGGCCCCTGAAGGCTCTTTGGTATTTCATGAAAAAGCTTGGAATGCCTACCCTTACTGCAGAACCAGTGAGTATTTCTTAATTTTGCTTTGTCCTAAAACTCCTCTGATATACCTGATTAAATGTTATGTCACATTTATAATGGTACATGTTTTTTGTTCTGTTAATTCTATTTTCCTTCATTTTTTAATTATATATACTAATGTGTTCACATTTTGTCCCTTCTCGTTTTTTCTTCTAATCTTGTTCCAGTTGTGACGGTAAGCAAGTCTTAAATTTCTTTCAAATACTCACAAGTAAATTAAAGCTGTTTCAATTCATTGTTCAACACTTTTCCAATATCTTTTCCTTAGAATGAGTATATGAAAGATAATTTCTTCATTAAAATTGAGACATGGCACAAACCAGACTTGGGAACACAAGAAAATGTGAGCACTTTAAAATTAAAGAAATGGACGAAATGTCCGGGTCAGGTCATTGATTTTTGTGACAGTTAATCTTTGTTTTAATAGGTGCACCAACTAGACCTTTCCACATGGCAGAATGTAGCTGTTGTGCCCATTGATATTGCAGACAGAAGTCAAGTGTCCAATGCTGTAAGTAGAAATCTCTTCAGCTGTTTTTCTTGTTCAAGGAATTTTCTGGTTTGGTGCCGCTGTGTGGACAAATATGTTCATTACACAATTTGTTCAGTTTTTATCCCGTCTACTGTACATGGACACAATGCATCAGTTGTTTTTTAAATTTATTTTCAACAGGGCACATTCTGCTACTGATCTATTAAACACATTGCTCATTTTTCTCACCCCAAAATGCTCATTTACATCTTTTNGTGTGGACAAATATGTTCATTACACAATTTGTTCAGTTTTTATCCCGTCTACTGTACATGGACACAATGCATCAGTTGTTTTTTAAATTTATTTTATGGGTAAATTGATTCATTTAATTTTTGAGCAAATTACACAAGTGGAGCCTAAAAATTAAGTATATTTTTTAAAATGTTGTTCAACAGTTCAGGTGAACTAAATTTGGCACAAAAAGTATGGAAATATGTGTTTGGTAGATTGTTTCTTTGTTGGATCAAAGCTTTTTGGCAAGAAATCTTATACTGTTGGAAAGTCTGTTATTTGCCTTTTTAAATGGAACCACAAGGAACATGTATTTGTGGGACGAGCAGTAGAGCTGAGGGTTACACATGAAACATTTGCCAAATCTTCTCTGCCAAACAGCTTACTTTGCTGCTGTTATTGACTTTTGTTTTGATCTTCTGGTACCTCCAGATGCTGCCATTCAGGTGCCTGATTTTAAGATTTATTGCCAAGAAGCATTGTTACAACAAAGAAATAATCTACCAAACCCAAATTGTCTTACATTTTGTGCTAAGTATGTTTTTGTGGTGTTAAGTATTTTGCCGTCTAGAATGAGTGAAATGTGAGGTCCAGTGGCCATAATCTGTCATATTTGACTTTAGAACTAAGATTCAGTTTCTTTTTTTTTGTTTGTTTGTTTGTTTTTTATTTTTTGTGTTTTTTTTTTTTTTACTTTGACTAATATATATGTTTTTTAAAGTTAATTTTTAGTTGATTGATGCTTACATTGCCTCAGGCTCATGTTTCTGTAGCATGTTCAACTCTTATGTCAGTAGGGACAAAGGCATTCACAATCACAGATTAAAATCAAGTTTTCTATATAGCCGTGTTTGCTCATTAAATTGTGCAAAATGTATTTATGTATGTGGTGGTTGTGACTAATTGTTTTAAAATAGAACTTGTGGATCCAGAGTTGGAAATTTATCTTAATTAAATAAGTTATTTTTCAAAAATATTTATACTTTGGGACCAGATGAATCCCCTGATATGTATGTTTTCAACATAAAATATCCACCTACCAATTTTTATTTTTATTTTTTTACCCACTTTTCCTTTCTGGATCACAAGGAGCTTGTCCAGCAATCACTAAGTGAGATGTGTGGTTCAGCCTGGATGGGTCACAAGTCCATCACAGGGCCACATGGAGACAAATAAGAAAAAAAACCATCTCACACACACATATTTGGAGACAATTTAGAGTTACCAATTCAGCTAATAGACTTGGTCTGTGGCAGGAAACCGAAGTAGCCGGAGAAAAACTACACATTCAAAATGAACAGTGGAACTCTACCCAGAAAAACCCATGCTGGGGGGGCGACAGCTCTAACCATTGCACCTCTGTGCCACCTGCATGAAATGACATTTAGTTGTTTAAAGTAGGATAAATTAAAAGCTCTAAGAGTTGTTAATTAAAAAAATGTTTTGAATATTTTATTTGTTTATAAATTACTCCTAATTTATTGACTGAAAAAAAATAACACAAACCCTTTAACATTTCAGTCGTATAATCCTGGGAAACAGTCTTTTTTTAAATTCCTACATGAAGAATGTGATTATAAAACTATCAGTAGGGCCTTTCTGATTTGAATTTTTTCAGATTATTGATACATTATATAATCAAGATTTTCTCCTTTCTTGGTTTGCAGTTAAGAAAAGTTTTGGCAACCTGCATATTCTTGTTCCCACTTCAGTTTGTGTAAAATATCAAAATACAAAAATAAATTAGACTTTTTGTCGTCTCTGAAATCTTATTTGAAGATGTTGCACATTATTGCTGATATTTGACTTCTCATTGCCTCATTTCAGTGTTTCTCTCTGTGTGCAATTAAATGGGTGGCTATTTGACAGAGAAACATCGACGTGTGTGTGTGTGTGTGTCTGTGTGTGTGTGTACCAGTTTGTTTGCTGTAGGTAGTTAACAAGGCGGACGTGTTTGCCTCATTGGAGGAGTGTGTTGTGTCTCAGGGCCCTATCAGCTCTCAGCCTCAGGCATGACTGCAGGGCCTGGAGCGTACCGCCAGCACAGATGAGTTTGTTAGCGTAATTAAAGCTCACTATGCTGCTGGAACTAGACAAATACACAACATAACACACTGTTTTTTTTCTTGAAGAGTAGCTCTTCTTCGTGTACCAAGGCACATCGATTCACAGACCTCATTAGTGCTGCACAGTGTATTGTTATAGGGATGGAACTCTAAGCATTAAAGCAGCCAAATTCTTGTGACTGTGTGTAATAGTGTTAGTGTGTCTGTGTGTATTCTCGTATTTTTTTTTTCCACGTTTGGCACCCTCCTGGTGGCCAGTAGCCCTGAAAAAGGAGCTTTTAGCTGCAGGGGTATCATGATTTATTTAAAATTACTTGGCCCGAGAGCTGTTGATAATTTAAAAACCATTTCATTTATTTGTGCAATTATTTTTCTCTTGCCTGTTTAAGTGTCGTCAGTTTTGGCATGTTGTGCTCATGTTTTGCATGTGGACTTTTTATCCCTCCTGTTTTCTTTTACCTGTACTTGATCTTTCTGGTGTCAAATCATGACCAGCTTGTGTAATAGACCATAGGTGGTTTCATCACTTTTTTTCTTCTTGTTTTTTTTTTTTTCTTTTTGGCAGAACATGATTTTCTAAACATCTTACATAATCTTATGAGTGTTGTCACAGTTGAATATCAAAACACCTGAGCTTAATGTGCAGCATACATTTATCAACACAAAGGCAGTTGAGGCTACAGGATTCATGTAGATCAATCCTTTAGTGCTACCTTATAAAACTTTGACAGAAAAGATATCTACATGTGACAAATGCTTCTATGATTCAAAGCTGCTTGCGAGTTTGTTAGTGCAGGAAAATAAAACCATCTTGATACTGCCAGTTTTTTTTTTCAGTGACTTGTTTAGAGAACATATGCAACATGTTATACATAAAGGTGATTTAATTTAATAGAAATTAAGCACATTTTGCAGTTTTAAAACATTGTGCTGTTTTTTTTTTTTTTTTTTTTTTTTCAAACTAGGTTTTTCTTAAAGGGGCAATATTATGTTTCCCGGGCATGTATTATAATTCTGTACCATAATAAAGTAACTATGTCACCCTCAGTTGTTATTATAATGCTGTTTTTGTGTTTAAATCAAAAATAAACTTCTCATCATATCCGTTTCTAAACACCTTGAAATTGGCCTCTGTCTCTTTAAGAAACTCCTTCTGATCCCATCACACCCATTTCAGCACGTCATCATAGCCGCTTCTCTCTGCTGTTTACAACCTGGAGTAGTAGCATGCTTTGTTGTAATGATAACTAAAAAACCAGCAACATTATTTTTTTTGGGGGGGGGGGGTGATGTTGAAGCCCGGTGTTTCCTTGGCTGCACTGAGAAGTAGTATTGGGAGCTCAGCAGGCCCATTTTTTACCTGTTGTTTGCTAGTTGTTGCTGCCGATAGCCACAACTCCCCCACACCCCCGCAGCCCAGGAGTCACAGGGTGGGCCGCGGGGGCGTGGGGGAAGTAAATGGACTGAACTTATAGAGCACTTTTTCAAGTTCCTCTGGACCCCAAAGTGCTTTACATTTACTGACATTCACACACTGATGTTGATAAGCTACATTGTAGCCACAGCTGCCCTGGGGCACACTGACAGAGGTGAGACTGCCATGAACCGGCGCCACCGGACCCTCTTGACCACCATCAGTAGGCAAGATGGGTGAAGTGTCTTGCCCAAGGACACAACGACTGAAATGGCTGGACCTTCTGGTTCTAGGACAACTCCCCTAACCACTCCACCACAGCCGCCCCATAGGTGAGACGCAGAAGTGTGCTCTGTAATGAGGAAGCTCAGCTTGGAGACACAGCCCAGAGGAGGAGCTAATCCCAAAATGCGGTTCTAGGCCCACCCAGTCTTTTTGCTTCCCTGCCTGGCTGCCTCAGGACACTACAGGATTTCTCAAACATGCGTGAATGAGTCAAAGCAAGACTCTGGACATGTTTTTGATGAGAAGATAACATTATAACATGTTTCAAACTCAAATTGATTTTACATGATGTTGTCCCTTTAAGTTATATTGTCGCCTTTTTTCTTAAATATTTTTTGTTTACATTAAACTTGTGATAAAACAGTTGCTTAAACAATATTTTCTTTCTTTAGGACTACAAACCAGATGAGGATCCAGTCAAGTTCAAGTCAGTTAAAACTGGGAGAGGACCTCTTGGACCCGACTGGAAGGTATTTATCCTTGTGCATTTAAATTCATTTTATTTTTTTCAGAAATGGCACGTTCTTGATTGTAAAGAGAAACTAAGAAGAAACATGTAATATATGACACTTGCACTGATAAACAGTGGTTGACACATTCATCAGTTTATCTTTGCATCAATGAGACATTTTACAAACTACTGGAGTTTGTGAATTTAAATGTTTAAATAGTGGGCTGCCTCCACAGTCTTGTCCAGTCACACAAAAACAATTTTATATGACGACAACCTACTTAAACTGAAATTGGTGTCATGCCTTGCTGCAGTTAATTTCTCCTTTTTTGGCTACAGCTGTGTGAAATCAAAATAGCTTAATATTTATACAGATTTCACCTGTGATTACCACTTCTCAAACTATCTCACTCCCCCTCTTCTACTGCTGCCGCCAATGAAAATCATTGTACATTTTCTTTTCATTTAGTTGCTTTAGTCCAGTTACCCATTTTATTAGTTAATTATTGTAATTTGTTCTTTCTGTACACCTACGTTTTTATTTTAAGTTTAGCTTTCCATTGTGTAGCTGACATAAGTTTAATTTTAAGAAACAACATAATTTCAGTAAACTATTGCACATGAAAATATAACAATGTGAAACCCAAGGTGCAGACCTTCAGACAGCTGGTATTTCTTTATCTTCTTCAGTTTTATGTAGAGCTTTTTAAGCTTAGAGTTTTGTAGAGATAAAACTTTCAACATAAACAAAAAGAACTTAAAGTAATCTGAATTTGGTGGCTGAGTTGTGAGACGAAGTGCGTCAACATTTGGAGAAATAAAATAAAATGAGAGGAAAAGCTGATGTTTGCTTTCAGTTAATCAGGACAATTTGTGAAAATATATTTTGATAAAATGTTAGGACACTTTCCTAGAGCTCCACTGTTATTAATAAAGAACAGACATAACTGGAGCAGGGTTTTCTATAGATTTAGTGTTTTTAATGAAAACAAACTGTTTAGCTGTATTTGGAACATGAAGAAATTTCAGGTCAGTTGATGATAAAAGTTCTGTGTTTTAGGTCTAATCAAATTGTGAATTTTAGTCGGTGTCCATAAGTGGACATTTTTCTAATTTTAGGCCATGAATTGTGCCACAAATATGTGTTAAGACTGATATATTATTTATTTTAGGGGTGAAATGGTGCAGAAAATGCGGTTCGATACTTACGTCTCATAGTTTGATATTTTTTCGATAAAAAAATGGCCGCCTTGTAATTTATTGAAATTAATTATGAACATTTGTTTAACCTCAAAAGTACAGTTTTTCAATTTAAAAATTGCAGAAACAGCAAGTTTGTCGGTAGATCTGTGCTCGACAATGCAGCCTAGGTGGAGTAGTGGAACACAGATATACTGAGCCTTCAACACAACACATCTTTAGAAGACAAGTTGAAAAAATACATTTATGGTTTGATGCAAGGGTGTATTGAACCTAAAGCACTGTGTTGATCGATTCGATGCAGATACATGTAATTTTGCACTCCTAAATTATATTATTATGCTATGCACACAGATTTTGTCACACATTTTGTTGATTTCCACTTTAAACCTAAACACAAACTGATCATGGCTGTGAGAGAGCTGAGAATTTCTGTTCTGCTGTGGAGCCCTTAAAGTTCACCATGGGAAACTTTCCTCGGCTGCAAGAATTTTCACATAACAAAGGCAGACTAACTGCTTTAAAAAGTATGAATAAAGAGACACAACTTTATTTTGTATTTTTTAATTAGATCACTTCCCTGTCTGCTGTGGACATGGAAAACTGTTTTATTAAAAAGGCAGAAAAAAGTAGTTATGTGACAACAGAGGCACAATTTCTGCCAGCTTCTCAGAGCAATGAAACTCTTGTCTATCTCTGCATGCACACATGCTTGCATATCGGCACTCTTTGTATTTCTGAAAACTTCTGCTCCTTTGAGTGGGGCACAGAGAGGGAGAGAAGAAATGTCACCGTAAGTGTTTTGATGTAGAATCCGTTTTATGTGAAGTTCTCCTTTAGCGATGACAACTTTTCTAAACCCACTGCAAATTTAGAAATGTTTCTCATTTCCCCACTCTCGCTCTTCTTTATGATCGCAGCATCAAACAGCAGCGGGACGAGAGTGATTGAGGCGGGTCTGTGGCATTTTCTCTTGGAATGCCGAGCCAGAATGAAGTGATTAATTAAACAGGTGTTCTCGGAGGGAGAGTATTTGTGTTCTGGGGGGTGAGCAGGTCCTAGGTGTTAATAATGTAACCGGCTTTGCACTGCGACGCCCTTATCGCTTCGTGAGCACCTTTTTATCTGTCTTCTGTGGCCACAAAAGGCACGCCTGACGGGAGCGGTGTCGCTGTCAGGGCGGAAGCAGAGAAATGGTCCCTTCATCTAGAGTTTATCCACTTTGCTGTGCCCCAACCCCCCACCTCCTTGTCTACTCTTCTTCAGAGTGAGACGCAGTGCAAGCAGGAGAGAGGGAATGTAGAAAGCCTATTGTAGATTAGGACACTTTTATCTGCGCACAGCACATCATCATATTGATAATTATTTTAGCAAGCTCCAAACCCAAAGCATAATGTATTAATAGATTTAAGCTTTGAATGCATCCAAGAAATGTTTAGAATAGTATTCTCTTCACCGTATAACAATTATCTTATTGCAAAGTTGGTGTGAAGTTTTAGCTGGGTTATTTATTGAAACTGTACTTTTAAAAAGGAAAGTGACTAGAAGACTCTGTTTCATTCTTTCTCTCTTAATAGCATGAACTGGAAAGTAAATCTGATTGCCCAAAGATGTGTGCCTACAAACTAGTCACAGTCAAGTTTAAGTGGTGGGGGCTGCAAACCAAAGTGGAGAACTTCATCCATGAGGTTAGTGATTTGTTTACACAGTTAAACCTCAGACAGCAGGCTTATTTTGGCTCATGTTGACAGTTCAAGCTTGTAGACCCATGACTGTTGGTCCTGTGTCTGGGAGTCAGGGTGATGAGTTTTATATATCTATCATTGCTATTTCTACTGTTTTCAGATTAGTGTGTTTAGTGTTATTGAAAACATTTTAATGTTCACACACTTTGTATTTTTACACTATCATTATTGTTAACGGAATGATTTAAATGTGAAAAGGAATGATTTAAAGCATAAGTACCCCTTTAAACATGAATCAGCTTTGACAAAATTTGCGGATCACTCTCTTCTCTCCTGCAGCAAGAGAAGAGGATCTTCACTAACTTCCACCGTCAGCTCTTCTGCTGGATTGATAGATGGGTTGATCTGACTATGGATGACATCCGACGGATGGAGGCAGAAACTCAAGCAGAGCTAGATGAGGTTTGTGTGTGACATAATTACCCATAATTAAATCTAAAATGTGTGATTCCATATTGGCCAGTGATAAAATTAACTTAACATTTAGAAGAACCATTGCCTGAGTAAGTGCAGTGGCTTAAAGGTCAAAATTAAATGTGTCATCATTCAGCTTATCCCACAGGCTTCCTTATTCCCAGTTTCTGTGACTTGCTGTCTTTTAGTTCATCTTGTGTGTAGAAGTAGTTCTGTGTGAAGTACGGAGTCTGAAGGTCAGATTTAAGTTTTCTGCATAAGGAATTTATGGTAGAGGTCAGTAATTTAAAGGTATTTTCCTCTGGTATGACTTTGGCTAACTGTCATATACTCTTATAAAAGTTTTCCATCTTCACCACACCCTCAGTGACATGAAACTTTTTTGGTAGCAAGCTTTGTTTAATCCTCTGTACTCATCACTCTTCTGCTGCACTGCATTGACTTAAACACATTGGCATTACTCAAAACTGTTCATAAACAGCCAGAGTGATGAAAAGCAGCCCATCATCTTTTTAAGACAGGAACAAGCTAATTGGTCTTCATGAGAAACTGAATTAAAACTAAAAAAAAAAAAAACATTGTATAGGTCTTCTGGACGGGTTTTTCTCTAATGAAACGTTTCGTCTCTCCTCCAAGAGGCTTCTTCAGTCTGAGAGTTTCAGGCAAAATTCAGGCTTTTAAGCCCTGCCTCCATGTGACTGATACTCACATCACATGGCTATYGTTGACACCTAATTAACACCTATTGTTAACAGGGGTGGAGTGTTACTGGCAATAGCAGCATTGTAGGAGGGGGACAACTGAAAACGGAGGCCTCCACCTCTGTTTAATGATGGACGGTCTTTCTTCACAAAAATGGCTTCTTTTACTCCTCTCTCAAACCAACGTTCCTCCCTATCAAGAATTAGAACATCCTCATCTCTGAAAGAGTGACCGCTGGCCTGTAAATGAGTGAAAACTGCAGAGTTCAGACCATTAGATGTAGCTTGTCTGTGTTGGGACATTCTTTTGAACAGTAGCTGCTTTGTTTCCCCGATGTTGGTCGCAGTCCTCCTGGCACTTAACAGCATATACAACATTGCTCTGTTTGTGCCGGGGCACCGGATCTTTGGGGTGAACCAGCCTTTGCCGTAATGTGTTTTGGGGTTTGAAAGCCACTGGGACATCATGTTTAGAAAATAAACGTCTCAGTTTCTCCGATACACCTGCAACATACGGAATAACCACTGGTTTGGGTCTGGGTTTGGGGTCTTCATTTTCACCTGAAGGTTGCATGGAATCCTGTCTGTGTTTCCTGTCTGCTTTCAGGAAAGCCCAGTCAGGATAACCACACTGCTCCAGGGCCTGTCTTGTGTGTGATTTCTCTTTCTCCCTGGCCCCTGGGTTTGTAGGGACACTGTCTGCTCTGTGGTACAGAGTCCTGATCACTCCTAACTTGTGTTCCAGTGGGTGGTGGGAGTCAAAACACAAATATTGGTCTTTGTGGGTGTGCTTACGATATACGCCATTTCCAACCGTCCTCCATCCGAAACCGAGACATCGCAATCCAGGAACGCCAACCTGTCATTTTTTTACATCCTCTCGTGTGAACTTTATAAATTCATCCACAGAGTTGATGTGATCAGTGAAATGTTGGACTTCCTGGGCTTTAATTTTAACCTAGGTGTCGTCAACATATCTGAACCAGTGGCTCGGTGAATTAAAACTAAATTTCAAAACATCCATACATGTGTATAAAGAGCTGCCATTTTCATTTAAATGTTTTACAAGCCGAGTTAAAATAAATATCTGGCTTTAGGAAATAGTCTGTTCATTGAAAAGTGTGTCAACCATTTAAGTTAAGTCAACATGCAACTCAACAAATCTGCATTTTTGATAAATAATAGTTACAGATAAATCCTGCCATTAACTGATGTTTTTGCCAAAATAAATACCAAATTGCTCTTGAATGAAAAATTACAATATTAAGGGATTCATTAATTTGGGCTTTGTGTTCACAATGTTTAACTCAGTGGAAAACTCTTACAATGTTTCCTCTGCTCCATCTGGGGTTGGTGTTTCCACTCTGTTCATAGTGCGGTTAAAGGTTTTTTTTTTTAAATCCCCATCTTCATAGCTCAGTGTAAACTCATCAGGAACACAAAAATAAAACATATGAGTTGTTATTGCATTTTTTATAAGGAAATGGAAAACCCACTTTAGTACCTGCTTCCCAGAGTATCTCCACAGAAGAATACAGGGCAGAGAAATTAAATGGTTTGCTTTAAAATAACATGGTGTAATGTCTTTAACTCGCACTCAGTGTAAAACCTTACCACTGCTCAGCTCTTGGAGATACTCCAAATATCAGTTTGGGAGCTTTTGGCCGTACATGGAGAACAAAAGAGGAATCTGGAGTAGACTGGCCAAAGTGGGCCAGTCTCAAACATTCCTGGCTTCTTACCCACATACTGCATTTGTGCTTGCTTTGCCTTCCCCCCTCAGAACATCTCGCCCAATCCAACATATGTTTCCCATTTCCCTCTGAAGTAAGTAAACAGGCGGGTGCCATCAAAGAGGTCTGTGGTGAGGCCAGTCACGGCCAGAACCTCTGAGCTCAAGGGTTAGCTGGGTCACACTTTGACTGTATTATATGCAATGGGACCATGAGTACAGTCACTGCACTTCACATTCTGAGCAAGGCTGTACCTGGCAAATGAGAAACTTGACTTTAGGGAGCCAATTCACAAGTGCCATGTCTGCATTCTTTATGTGTAATGTTCTGGTGCTGTTGAGGTAGAGTAAGGAAGGATGTGAGAAGAACTGGGTGTGGTTGTGTGTTTCGAGATGGCTCCTTTTTCCTCATTAACATACAAATGGAATTCTGCTGTTAAGGAGCCTGGCCTCTGATTGAGAAAGAGAGAGGAAAGAAGGTGGGGGAAAGATGGTGAAGTGGCAGGGTAAATCCTCCCACTATTTCATCAGATCTGTCTATTCCCCTGTTTAGAGCCAATGTTAGTTTGAGCTGTTTCATTTGATGTGTTGGGCTATCAGATTCTAGCACTAATTGACTTTCCAAAGCCATCAGCCTCAGGTTGGGAGAGTTTGAAAGGGATGCTTTTATCTACCTTGAAGACAAACAGGAGAATTGATAAGGACTTTTGGAGCTGATTTTCAAGGAAGTCCATGTTTCAGTTGGCAAAAAGCAATTTGTAGTATTTTGTTTTTTGGATTGCAAAGATAAAATGAAAACCCCTAGTTATACGTAATGAGCAAAGTAACCCATTTTTGTCCAAACTAGTTCATGATAATCAAAAATCTCAGTGATTATACATGTGTAGTTACATTCACCAATTAACCTAACTCTAACTTTTCTTAATTTTCTTCATTTTTCCACAGCTACGCAAGCAGGGAAACGTCCGAGGAACCAGTGCTGCAGAAGAAAAATGAAAAGTCACATGATTTTAAAACCGCCACAATTTCTTGGAGTCTGCTAAGAACACTCTTTTAATATCACTTTTTACCCAAACTGATTCAGGCTGTGAAGGAAGGAGCCCAGCTACCTGCGATCAATAGATCAGATCCTTGACTTGACCCTAACCATGGACAGTCTGTCCAGTAAGGAATTGATTTCTAGAAACCAACATAATCTTAGCTTAAATTACTCTGGTTCAATTTTGATCTCTGGGGCAGAGAAAGCCCAGCTTTCATTATCATGTAAGAGAAGCCTAGACTTTGAGAGACTTGTGTGGTGGGGAGTATTTGCTCTATAGATGCAAAGTAACTAAAACATACAGGCACAATGACCAAATGTTTCCATTTGTATTTTATTTCAACCTTTTTCTTTGGTTGCCTCAAACACATTCCTCACAAGGTGATGTCCTAAACGACTTTGCTGTGTCTCCTGCTTGGTCTTAACTGTAAACACTGTGGCTCAGTGGTTTGCATTCCCTGACATGAAGCAGTTTGTTATACTCCTGTTCCTTCCTGCCACAGCCTCCATTAAGTGATTACTAACACCCTTGGCACCCAGGCCTATTATAATCCCTCCCCATCTCCCCACCTTAACCAAAGTACTGCATCTTATCACTGACAATCATGTCTGTGCAGGCTTCCACTCTCACTTCTGTTCAGACTTAATAAAAAGCCACACACAAGCATGACACACACATTACGCGCATGAGGATGAACGTGTGAATTTGTTCTAAAGGTATGCAAACATGCGCAGGTGTGGATACCTTTGAGCTGACTGATCTGTTGCAAGCTCAAGCTGGGCAGATCTTTGCATGTACTCTTCTTTGTACATTTAGAGGATGTTAACAGATCTCAGCAGTCACCCCCCCTCCCCCCCCCACCATCACAGTCATCCTCACTGTTCTAGACATTCACACAACATACAACATAACATTAGCCTCCTTAACAGATGTCCCTAGAGGGAAAATGGCAGTGGAAAAAACCGCCACAGATGGTGTTACACCCCTATAGTCAAACTGTAGCTCACTCCAGTTTGACAAAAGGCCTTGTATTCAGCTTAATTCCAGTCATGTTTACAGATTCATAATTGTTTTATTAGTGCCCAGTTAACACCAGCACCACCACACTTGCTTGCCTTAATCCCCAGACCTTTTTTTTTTTGTTGTTGTTGTGTACTTTCCACCTCTTACAGCTCTGCTGCCAGCTATTGCGATCTACCTCCCTCATTTCTAACTGGCAGTTTTCCTAATGCCAAAGGATTAGCATTAGCTATGAGCTGCTGCTTCTTGGGAGTAAATCTTAGCAGACACTGCTTTATGAGCAACTTTATTTAGGATCAATCTTTACTACCTTCAGTGGAACTGAATGTTTGTCATAACACCTGAGCAAGTGCAATTACTTCTACATGCAAAAACTGTTAAAGCTGTAACAGCCAGTGTTGTTTATCACTACAAAGGGCTGCAGATTAACATCGGATATCAGAGATTTGCCATATGATTGACTCTTGACTTTCATTACTATAGCAAAACTTCTCACTTGGTTTCAGAGCTATTGTGACATTAATTATATTGGTCATCGTTAATGTTTCTGTATAATATCTGTAGTTTACTCATCTGATCCCTACTGAGCTTTAGTTGTATGTCATTGTCTTAAATTGTACTTCGGATGTTTGGGTTAGTTTTTAGAAGTCCTGTTTCTGTATTTTCTTTTCAAAACAGAGCACTTTTGTTGGCTCCACTTATTAGTTATTTTTCCTGACAGTTTAATTAAAAAAGCACTCATTTTTGTTGCAGGTATTTTGTCCAAAGAGTAAAAATACAGATTTTTTTTTCTTTGTGTTTACATGTTCAGCAATCATCATAGGAAATTTAAAGACAGACATTTAACAAATGCTCTCAGGTGAAACATTACTCACATTTCTTTTTTTTTTTTCTTTCTTTCTTCCTTTAAACATTGTCACTCCCAGTTTTGTTAGCAGTAAAAATGACAACACTTTCACTAGTAAAAGATGGTCATTATATAGCTTGTTCAATTATGGCACCACTGTAACATACTGTATTGCTGTGCTGGCGTAATCTGAATTGGTTTCAGAGAGTAACAGCTGTGTATAAAAAGATGGTCTATTGTGTTTTTGGTGTTTCTAAATTAATTCAGTTTTTTTTTCCAGATAAATAGCCCTATGAATAGTAAGAACATGAATCAGTGATGTCTCAACTATGATCGCAAGAAGATAAAGGAATTGACAAAAGAATGGCTATTCCTAAATTATGAAATCTAGAACTGTTCTTAAAGACTTTTTTAAGGCTCTGATCAGATCAAATTGAGGAACATAGACGTGAATGAATGATATAGTGTGCCTTTTCTTTTCAAAACATCTTGTGCGTTCAGTCTGCATATTGTATTCAAGTAAAATAGATCTATCTTCAAAATAAATGTTTTTTATGCCTCATTTATAGTCCAGTCTTTTTTTTTGCATGCATTTATAGTTTGATGGGAAAAAAGAGAAAATGAGTTGAAATTGTTTATTTTGCCCAACTTTAAAATCGAAGTGATGTTTTTGAACAAGACCTGAAAAGGGATTTTGAAAAACGGGAAGTGGTCAGACGGTGTCTGTGGTTGGTCATATTCCTGTTTTGTGTCAAACAATGTGATAAAGTTTAACCTGACTAATTTTGACACTTCAAGTCAACTAACAGCAAAAATAAATAAATAAGTTAAATGTCAAGCTTTTAGGCAATGTCAGTTGCCTTTTGCAGGTAATATAAAAATATTTTAAAGAATTTTTGAAGTGTAATTAAAGTAATGACAAAATTTGTGACATAATGCTAAGAAATGTATCTATATGAACTGCATAAGAAGTGTAAAGAAAATCTAATTAAAATAATTTACTATGGTGATCTATATCCAAGTTTCACCCCCTGACTGCCGATTTAAACAAGCTGAAATGTAAGCTTTTTTGAAATTATATGACCGATCCTAAAGAAGTTTGAAAACTGGTGATCGTGTTTTTCATTTCTTCTCACGGTATGTATGATGTATTCTGATGTATATTTTGTTTGTGCCCAATAAAAGGGGTTCTTTCAAAAGATCTGAAATTTTTAGACAATTCAAAACTTAGGATGACATCATTGACAGACTGTTGAAGATTTTGTGGAAAAGTCCGTAAAAACATTTAACTACAATTGTATTAAAAAAAAACAGTAAAATATATCAAAAGGTCAGTCCTGACATATAAAGTCCAGCTTTTTGTTTAAACTTTGCACAATGTTTCTGTTATAAAAGAACTTCAAAGAGGAGTGGGTTTTCTTGCAGGTTTCACTTAAATTCCTTTCTTATTTAATCCCTCACTTTTTTGCAAATTGTCTAAAAGTCACAGCACACTAATGCTGATCAAGCCTCATGTTTTGGTGTATAATTAGGTTTCTTTCATAGCTGTGCCAAGATGCAGAACAAAAAATTTAACAGGATAAAGATGCTTCAAGGTTTATTCACTGTCACCCTAATTATGATTAAAGACAGTACAAGCTTAGAAAACGCTGCTGCTGTAGAGAACATATTAGTGGAACACATTGAACAAACTTTTAGGAAAATTGATGACTCCAGTAGACTTTCTGCGACCTGCAGGTCAGAAGAGTCACACAGTAACAGCGGAATCTGTGCTAAAGAGCAGGAAAAGCTGCAAGTCTGCGGGCTGAGATAACTGCTGCTTTTATTGTTTGCAGAGGAATGGTCACACGACTTGCTGCAAGGAAACCAGTCATTTCTGCCACTGAACTCGCAAATAATGCCGTTTCTAAATGGGGAGATGGACAAGATTCGCCCACACACCTCCTGTTAAGTGGCAGCTCGCAGTAGTCCACAGTATGCCTGCATCCATCTAACCATGTGTCTCCCTCGCAGAGAAGATGAGGGGACATGTCACGAGTTGAGCCCCTGTCATTGAAATAGATTCAGTAACAGATGAAGAGCTGAAGTGAATCTCAGAGAGGCTCGAGACTTTGACACCGCAGGAGGTCCAGGCGTGTTACCAAAGAAAGTCTCGGCGTTCTGAGATAAAAACAAATATCTGATTGCCAGAATGATTCATATTAAATTCACAGAATCAATATTTCTGTCAAATTAATTTGCGAAGGCCTGTAACACCTAGTTTTTCCATGTGCCAAATGGCCACAAGTCAGCAGATTATGAAAGTTTCTGTTTTTGAAGGAGGTGGCATACTGAAGAATAAACCTACCATTTGGTCCATTTTATACACACATATATATATTATATACTGTACGGCCCCTCTTCTCTGGTGCCAGATTTGCACGAGGGGCTGCAGGTCTCTTCTCGGATGGGAGAGTTATTTCTGTTCTGTCAGGGCTGACACTGATGTCACCAGCGTTTCCTCATCCTCCGGGCTTGTGTCAAATTTAGCTCCAGAGATTCTCCCGAGTCTTTCCTGTTGTTCCGTGTGACGTGTGGTAGTGGAGGTGGTGTGTGTAGGGGGGGTCTGTTGCATCCCCTCCTCCTAAATACAATAGTGCTTCTCTGGATGACAGATGCTGCTTAACCTGGCCTGACCCAGGGAGTTGTGATGGCTCAGATGAGTGACAGCCCTATACAGGATACACTGAGGCTCTCCTCCACACTGCCAGGATG